CCCCCCCCCCCCCGTGAATGGTCCCACTTCCCATAAGCCTCCTCCAACCAAGTGCCCAGCTGCAGCTGTGTGGGACATCCCCTCCCATCATCCCTTGTCAGAGGGCCATCCAACATGCCCAGAAGGGAACAAACTGGGAGAGACTGGTAAAATCCGAGCCAATTTCACTGTTAACTCTGGCTTTGTGGCTTGTTTGACTTTGCTTGTGTTGCAACCCAGCCATTGTGGTTTGTAAGCCATGGCTTAATGTGGGGTACAAAGCCAGCCAACTGAGGTTTATTCAACAACCAGAGTTGATCAAACCATGGCTTAGCATGCAACTTTACAAGGCTGGGCGGAGGAGAAGCAGAAGGAACCGTTTCTGACAAATGTTGCGTTCTCTGCAAAAATCTGCCCCCCGCCCTCAGTTTGGCTGCTACCTCCCTCTGGCACGAGGCAACGGTGAAATGTTGCTTGGGCACCTGGCGAGAGCGCCTTCTGCCTTCCTGCCGGCCTCTTGCCGTGCCAGGACCCTCATCGATGCAGCCCCTGGGTCGGCTCCACCTGAGCCCCTCGGTTTCTCACCAAGCCCTGGGGACAAGGGGGCAAAGTGGCCCTTAGGGGAAGTACTAGACTACCCTAACCCTAGACCTGACCCCCTCCTTAAAAGACAACCGTTCGCTGCACAAATCAGGCCCCGGAGGAACTCAGCGCGCCCTCTGCCCCTTCTGGGGTTCAGACCAGGCCAAACGTTCACCGGCCGTGGGGTCTCCTCTGGCTGGTACGCTACTTCCTAATGGGGTGGGGGGTGTTCGCTCCAGAGAGCAGCAGTGAAAGGAGAAGCTGGCATTTCTCCTCCAGTGGCACCGCCCAGGCTGTGTCCATCCAGCGTACTTAACTTAGTTACTGAATGAACCTGTTTTCACGGTTCACATAAGGCATTAAATCATGAACTAGGCCTGGAAGGTTGGTTGGCCCAAATCACTAAACCATAAAAAAACTAGCCAAGGTTAGCACACCATGGGAATGGATCTGCTAAGTCTTTACCAGCCTTGTCAAGGGGGCTGTGTGAACACAGCGGTTAGGGGAAAGAGCTTCTTCCGGGGGCCAATTTGGAAATCAGAGGCTCCTTTCTCACCTGACTCTGACCTTCGGGGAGAAATTTTGAGGACATCCAAGTTAGCTTCACCCACACCCACATTCTTGGGTGCCTTTTAATGCCTTGTTATCATCCTGAAAATGATTGCACGGTATTTGCCTAAAAGCTAACCATTTCCCAGGTGTCGATTTCTCAGACTTGGTGCCCTGCCCAAACTTCTCTCCCCTTGCAGGGACTCGCTTGGGAGGCCTCCCTGATCCTTCGCCTGCAGGCAGAGGGACACCACACTAGCCCCGATGGATGGTGTCGCCTGTACTAATGGGAACTGTAGTCCCTGCACATCTGGAGGGCCTCAAGCTGGAACAGCTCCCCAGGACCAACAAACCTAGTGGTCTGGAGGTTTGAAACAGCCTGTGGGCCAGGCCAGGCCAGGCTCATACCAGCCACCCCAACTCAGATGAAACCAGGTGCCCCACGACTCCCAAGGCTGCTCTAAGACCAGTCAGGTCTCATCTCTGCAGTCCAGGAAGCGGAGTCATCAAAAAGAAGGCCGAGAGGTCATCCGAGAAGACCTCAAGAGGCCAGCGGGTCTGTAGCCACAAACAAAGCTGGGGGCTGTCCCATAGGAAGGCTCAGAAGGAGCAGCGTCCAGATCAACCTGGGGCAGGAGGTGATCTAGTCTGGAAGTCCCTTGAGAGCCATCCTGAGTCCCACCTTGAGGGATTTCTTCTGGGAGAACAGTGGCTTGATCCCACCCCCGACCCCAACCCCGACGCCCATTCTGGAAAGAAGGCCGCCCGTTATTCCGGACGGCCTCTTTGAGGTGTGACATGAGAAGGCATCTCATCATCCGTGACCGTTCTTGTGCCTTTGATAGCAACGCTTCTCAAGTCACCTTCCTCGTGGCAATCACGTTGCCTGTGGAACGGAACTCCACCGATTCCAGACTCCCGATCGCCGGGCCCGGGTCAGAACCCCGGCTTCGTTCAAGCAGCTCACGCAAGTTTTCTTCTTCGGGGCCTTTTGCTCCTTTTCTCTTTAGTTTTATCATTGTGCATTGAATATATCGTGCTTTGTTCCAGGATGGTAAAGAAAAAACCGAAACTGATGAAAGGAGGGCCTTAAGAGAAGCCCACCCTTTCCAACTTCAGGGCTCACAGGCAGATGCCCGGCTTACCTGCTTCAGCTCCTTCTGCAGCTGGGTGGCCCGGGCAACAATGGGTCCTCGCACGGCGTACTCCACCTTCCGGACGTGGGGGTTCATGGAGTCCAGAGTCAGGACTTTGTCCTGTGGCGCTGCCCCGTTCTCTGCCATCCCCGGCTGCCTTGCCTGCCACCGCAGGGCCCTGAAATGCAGAGGGGGGCCAGGGCTGAGCGAGGCGGGGAGCAACCCGGGTGGCCCCCTCACCCCAGGGAGCCTGCTGCTCAGGAGAGCCCTAGCAAAGGGGGGCCTTGGCATCGGCCCCCGGGGCTTCAGCTGCTGTGTGCACGAGAGATCCGCTGCGGAGGGGAGGAAGCCAGGAGCCTCCCCAGGTGGCCAGGTCCCTCCCTCCCCAAGTTGCCGAGGGGCGGCCCCGGCTGGAACCCAGCCCAGGAGGGGAGCCCAGCTGCGGGACTGCCCCATCCTTTCCCTCAAGGCCTCCCTCCTTCTTGGCTGGCTTCCCTGCCCCCCAGGGGAAGAAGGGACCTACCTGGCTCCCAGGCAAGCCAAGCAGCTGCTCCCACATGGGCAGGGAGGGGAAGGACCTGCTCCTTTTAATCCAGGGCAGGAGGGAGGAGACTGGCTGGAAGAAAGCGACTTTGTGGAGGGCGGCTGGGAGGGGCCGGCCCCCCCGCCTCCGGCACAAAGCCGAA